TGAAAAGCTCAATATTGCATTTTACCCAAGAAAGATTTTTTTAAAAAAAAACAGGATCACAGTGTATAGCAGTAAATAATAGGGGGGAAATCACTGTGCATAATGGCTGCTTAACTTGCACTGAAATACAGTTGAATGTATATGTCGAATAGACCCAGCGCAAATCACATAGCACAGACCTCTGTTAAAAATAATAAATTGTTTTTTATAAGCAACAATTACAAATTTAAACTCCTTATGGCAAAATCTTGCAACAAACAGAGAGAAGTTGTTGCCAACGATGTTAAATCTGGAAGGCTCCTGTTCCTCCTAAAGATAATTTGGTGATTGGCTTATTCTATATATGAACTTTGACATTTGAAGATTGGTTTCAGACAATTCCGTGCTAGAGACTGTAATGAAAATACCTTTGGAGTTGATCCTCTCCTGAGGAAGACCTCTCACGAAATGAGTCGAAACCTAGGTGCTCATCAAGTTAATGCTTATGTTTGCTGCAAACGTTTGTCATAAATCAGAACAAGCTGACACTTTGTTCATGGCTGTTGTAAGATTTTGCCATAGGAATTTCTCCTGTGTTTATTATTATCAGTTGAAACTTTGTCAGTATTGTTGTAATTGACTTGTTATTTAGCAGTTTAAATTTGTAATTGTTGCCTATAAAAGGTCTATGATACGTGATTTGTGCTGGGTCTATTCCACATATACATTCAGTCATATTCAGTGTACATTGAGCAGCCATTATTCACAGTGATTTCTTCCTATTATTTGCTGCACTTTACCCAAGAGCAGAATGGACTCATACTCACTCCAGAAGATGTGGATTCTCCAGATATAGATGGTGACCTGGATGGTTTGACAGGCCATGGCGTAGGCAGCGATGACATGGCCCAGCACAGCCTGTTGGCCTTTGAACATGCAGACGTCATAGACACAATCAAGGAAAAAGATCTCGGGGTCGATTTTGCCATGGCACTCCCTAAACGGGCCGCTCTTGTCCACAAGGAGCCCACATTGTGCACTGATGCCTCTCTGGCGCTGGGCAATGGCTTCCAAGTCTGGACATGCCTTGAGGCTTACCTCTGTACAACCCCAGGATTCTGCTACCCTCCAGTGCTGACCCAAGGCTGTTGTAGGTGAAGTTCCCTCACCGTCCCTTGGGGTCAAGTCATCTTGTTTGTCTCCATTGAAGTTGCCACAGAGACCGCTAAGAGCACCTGCGTAGGTCCTGGGTACGGTGACCGTGAGACGGCTTTGCCAGTCAAAGGTGATTGTGAGACCAAAATCTGTTTGGATCATCATATTCCAGCCCTTTCTGTAGACGAGTATCTGTTCCAAGCCCAGCCTGTAGGGTAGATGGGTCAGCAAGCCATTTACCTAGAAGCAGAGAGAGAAAGTAGAAGGAATGGAGGAAGGAGGAAGGAACCTTCTGCCTGAAATCTGGGTACATGAACAGATAAAAGTTGAGCTAGATTTGAATCCAGTACAAGTTGTACAAGTTATTACAACACTCAGGACAATGGAACCCTCAGGGCTTAACAGAGATATCAGGTTCTTATTTCACAACATATGCTAAGTCACTCAGTTCTTGCTTATACCCAGAATTAAACTTTGTTGGTCTTAAAGGCACCACTGGACTCAAACTTAGTTCTCACATTTGTTTGTTAACTCTTTTATTATCTGTGTGCTAATTTGCTGCTATTCGCAGATCTTACTAACCATAGTGTTCCAATCTTAGCTGTACTTATGCATCTTGACTCTAATTAGCCATTCCTGGCAACTAAGCCCCCCACCTATATGTAACGCTTGAGGAAATCTGCTTCAGCGTATTTAAAGAAGTGTGCATCTACACATTCTAAGTCTCTCAGTTCTCACTTATACCCAGAACTGAACTTTGTTGGTCTTGAAGGTGCCACTGGACTCAAACTTAATTCTCACATCTGTTTATTAACTCTTTTATTTATTAAGAGTTTATTAACTCTTTTATTTTCTGTACTGGACACAAACTTAGTTCTCACATCTGTTTGTTAACTCTTTTGTTAACAAATGTATGCTAATTTGCTGCAATTCACAGGTCTTACCAACTGTGTTATTCCAATCTTAGTTATACTTATTGCTCAGTTCCCTATGTATCTTGACTCTAATTAGCCCTTCCTGGGAACTAACACCCCCCCACACCTTTTGTGGTGGTTGAGGAAGTCTTGTTTCAGTGAATCTGAAGAAGTGTGCAAGCACACAAATGTTTATACCCAGCATTAAACTTTGTTGGTCTCAAAGGTGTCACTGGATTCAAACTTTATTATATTGGGATGTGTGAGGAAATAAGCAGAGAAGCCATGCCGATTGAACTCCTGGGGATCATCTAGGGTCATATGTACTGTAGCACTCAGAAGGGAGCTTTGAAAATCTGTGCGAGAAACTCTTCCAGGTACTGAGCCATTTTTCATGCTTTCTAACAGAAATGCTGGAGCGGAAGAGAATGTGGAGAGTGAAGACTGTGGCAACTGTACTTACTGGCAAGCACTGGTGCAGAGGGCATGACAACAGACAGGCCTGTACTCACTTCTCAAAATAGCCCTCCAGTGTCTGTTTTAGGGTGCCATATTAACCAACTCTCTATGACTTATCACTCTTCCCATGTGCAAGTCTTTAGAAGCACAGAAGTGTCAGAGAGGCGCTATGTGTGAGCATCTGAGAAGCCAATCCCCTTTAAATGGGGGAAAACACAGCCGAAGACATTTTGCAGTCTAGGCCGATGCTAGGACACGGAAGGAGAGCGCCAACGTCTGAGGCCGCCGAAGAAAGCCAGACATCAGCAATGAATAGGCCCTGCTGCCAGATGCTGGTAGGAAGTCACCCCCCTCATGATTGTGGCCTTAGTTAGGGAACAAATAATTGTGTAAGCCACTCAGAGACCCCTCGGGGTTCGAGCGGGATACAAGCTGAAAGCATAAATAAAATAAATAAATACCATGTACCAGTCACACCCAACTAGATGTCGTTGGAAAAGTGCACAGGCAGGCTGGCTGGCTCAGACTCACCATGACTCTTCCCCGATAAGCCCAGCTGAGGGTAAGCTCCATCCCGTAGACTTGAACCTTGACCAGTTTGTTGAGGGACAGGGACCAGCCACCTTGGCGTGAGTTCTGGACCAGGACCTGGAAATCTATCAGCTCCTGGCTCTTCGTGCTCAGTCCAGCGAACAGGTAGAGACAGGTGCCCTGGAAGTTAAAACTCTGACCATCAAAGGTGTGATAATGGGAGTAGCCAATGGCAGCACAGGTGCCATAGCCAGTCGGGTAGCAGTTCTGGATACCGTTCTCGACCTTGCACTGTTCCCCACTCTTGCAACTCGCTGTCTGGCAGGTCACTCGCTTGGTTTGTGGGTCACAGATGCAACGCTTGGTGCAGGTGCCGTCTCCCCAGAACTCCTCCTTGGGGGAGAAGAGTTTCCCTTCAAAAACACACCCGCAGGCAGCCTGGGGGATGCATTTCCCGGCATCCAACACGAAGCCCTCATCGCACTGGCAGGTCTCCACGCAAGGCAATGAGGAACATTTGCTGGGAGCAGCTTGGTCGTTGCAGGTGGCGGGACAGGCAGAGCCACAGAGCTTGTAGTGACTGTTCCCAGGACAGGACAGGGCTGTGAAAAGTTAAAAGGAAAAGAAGAACATGGGAACATTGGTGTCTTTCTTGCTACACCCCTTAAGAACATGAGAAAAAGAGCTCTGCTGGATCAGACCGATGACCCATCTAATCCAGCATTCTGTCTCATACAGTGGCTGACCAGTTCCTCTGGATGGCCAACAACAGAGCATAGAGGCCGAGGCCTTCCCTTGATGTTGCCTCCTGGCTCTGGGATTCAGAGGCTTAGTGCCTCTGAATGGGGAGGTTCCCCTTAGTCATCACGGGTAGATAAGAACATCTCTTGATCAGGTCGGGCTTCCACTCCACGAGTTGCTTCCAGCAGTGATGATGGGACAGGAAGCACCAGAGGAAGCACATCTTAGCAGATGTCATTCCTGTTGCAGAGATCAGGAGCAGAGGTCATTTCGGGGGGGGACGCGGGGGAACACAGTTCCCCCAGGTGAGATACGGGGGGCGGGGCACATGACGAAGCCCCGCCCCCTGCTTCCGGCCGTCCCGCTTCCAGCCCTCATTCAGCCAGGAGGAGGCAGGAGAAGAGGGAGGGTAAGTTGCTTCCTCCCCACCTCTCCCCACCCCTACCTACCTGGGGCCAGGGAGGGCCTTCGCAGGGCTTCCTCGCACTCCCGCTGGCCTTGCAGGTCCACCGCCGGGCCCCTTCTGTCAGGGGGTGTGGCATATGCTAATGAGTTATGCTAATGAGTTCCCCTCGCTCTTTTTCTACGAAATGACCCCTGATCAGGAGGATCCAGATATCACAAGGTCAAAGATTAAAAAAACCAGCAAGCTGACTGGAAAAAAATCTAATGTTGTCAAACGTTCCTCCTGAATTAAAAAGCCATTCACATTGTTTAACTCGTTAGCTTTTTTAATCCTACTCTACTAAACAGTTTCCCAGCACAACAGATATCCATTATAATTGCGTGGAAGCTGCCCTCAAGCCGCACCTGACCCTGTAGGGTTTTCAAGGCAAGAGACGTTCAGAGGTGTTTGGCCACTGGCTGCCTCTGCGTAGCAACCCTGGACTTCCTTGGTGAGTCTCCCATCCAAGTACTAACTAGGCTTGACCCTGTTTAGCTTCCAAGAGCTGATGAGATCAGGCTAGCCTGGGCCATCCAGGTCAGAGCACAGTACAGAAGTAGGAGTTGGAGGAAGAGGAGGAGGAGGAAGAGGAGGAGATTGGATTTATACCCCACCCTGACCCTTCACTACCCAAGGAGTCTCAGAGTGGCTTAAAATCCCTTTCCCTTCCACTTCCCACGACAAACACCCTGCGAGGTCGGTGGGGCTGAGAGAGCTCTGTCGAGGACTGCTCTTGAGAGAACTGCTCTGAGAAAACTTGTGACTGACCCAAGGTCACACCAGCAGCTGCATGTGGAGGAGTGGAGAATCAGATCCGGTTCTCCCAAATTAGCACCCGCGCTCCTAACCACTACACCAAACTAGCTCCTGAGCAATCAATTCTACTCACGGCAGCCAGTGAGGGTCCTCCAATCAGATAGGACAACACCTTCTCTCTGGCAGGCATCTGCATAGTTCTTCAGTGCTCGGCACAAAGCCTCTCGATAGCCCTCGTAGATGTAGAGGTCATAGGCACAGTTGTCTACAAAGATCTCCGGATCGATGACAGAGTGACACTGGCTGAATGGGCCACCCTCCTTTTTGTTGATCCAGCCACAGAAAAGCTCAACTTTATATCTGATGAGCACCTCCAGGGTCACCTTCTTGCATTCTCCATGGCAGTCATCCCAGCACAGCCGGTCACCATCTTCCACCTTCCAGCTTTGCCCAAACTCCACAGGGCTGGGGGCCAAGGACCCGCTTGCGGTTTTAAAGTCATCGGCAGGGTCTCCGTTGTAGTTACCACACAGGCCACACATATTCTCGGAGAAGCTACTGGATACCTTCACCGCCAGGTAGCTGTTCCAGTCGTAGGAGACCTTTAGTGAGAAGTCAGTCTCAAGCATGACCAAACTCCCACTCTGGTAGAGATGCAGTTTGCCATCAAGGAGAGAGATGGGCAGCCGGGAACGCTGGTTGTTCACCTGATATAGTAAAAGTGGAAATTAGAGGAACGTTTAAAATGTTGCGATTACAAAAGGAAGTTCATAAAATCAGAGAGTTGGTGTGGCCCCAAAAGGGGTCCAGCTCCCTACTCTGTGAGAGGACTATTACGGCTGCCACTCTACAAGATCTCTGGGAGATCTCTAGGCCCCAACCTGAAGTTGGTAACCCTATCCCTAAAACCAGACCCCTTTTGAATGCAGATCAGGGAATTCAAGGCCCAATCTTAATTTCTTTGGGCCTGGTATAGGGTTGCCTTCCCCTCAATGGGGGTGGGGTGTTTCCCACTTTTGTGGGCCCCAATCCACTGCTGGACAGCAGGGGGGAGCCCTGCCCCTGAAGAGCCCTGTCATGCCCAGCACAATGACACATCATCTGGAGGTGACGTCATCGTGCCAGGCACATCATATGAGGGGATGCTCTAGCATTTGGGTAAAAACTCTATGGTGATCATAGAGTTTTTTAGCCAAATGCTAGAGCATCCCCTGAACGACATGCCCAGTGTGATGTAGTCACTTCTGAGTGATGGCATCATGCACGTGCACTTCACGGGTTGCCTTCCCCTCAATGGGGGTGGGGTCTTTCCCACTTTCGTGGGCCCCAATCCACTGCCAGCCAGCAGGGGGGAGCCCTGCCCCTGAAAAGCCCTGTCATGCCCAACATGTCCAGCACAATGACATCATCTGGAGGTGATGTCATCGTGCCAGGCACATCATGTGGGGGGATGCTCTAGCATTTGGGTAAAAACTCTATGGTGATCATAGAGTATTTTAGCCAAATGCTAGAGCATCCCCTGAATGACATGCCCGGTGTGATGAAGTCACTTCTGAGTGATGGCATCATGCACGTGCACTTCACACGTGTGTCAGAACACCCCAGGAGCCAGGCTGGAGCCCCCCACCAGGACAAAGGGAAGACCTGGCAATCCTAGCCTGGTATAAACTTGCAACACAGATGCTCTGTATCATACTATAACAGTTATTCAAGTGTGGCCATATTAGTCATGTTAATACTAAAAAAATTTTTAAAATTACAACAGATGCTTATATGTAATAGATATTTAGAGAACAGGAATTTTTTTATCACATGCCTGTTGGACTGTTAGCTACAAGCAGGGAAATCAGTTAGTGGAGCATTATGCAAGAACTCTTACAAATAAGCCTCCCATTCACCCACCCTGGGTGAGGAATTACCCACCCCAGCCCCAATTTCCCACCCCCGAGGAATTAAGGAATAAAAGAAAAAAAATGGCCTCCACATAGTGACGCTGTAGGAATTTCCTCTAGCCTCTATGGTAAAGGCCATAGGGACTAGGGGAGACAACATAGAGCATCACCTAGGAGTGACATTACATGCTTCATAAACTCTGCCCTCCCCGAGTACCATCCCAAAATTCTTCCGGCACTTTCTGCAGCAGTGTTGGGAACCCTGGTTATGGGGCTATTCACTCATAAACAGCCACACATAGAGAAATGGATGGTACAAAAGCAATGTTAGCCTCAGCTCTTACAACATGAGAAGAATCCATAATCTCTGTTTAGGCCTTGCTCAGTCATGGGCTTATACAGTCATGACATTAGAATGTGATCCTTACCCTGACGAGGCCATGTTCATTTCTGGCCACCTGTATATGATGCCCATAAACCTGGACTGTCAGTGATCCAACATAAGATACTGTTTGGCCGCCTCGGTTCTCATTCTTAACCATGATGTGAAAAGTTGGGAGGGTTGCATCCGATCCACAGGTCTTGGCCATGGTGTAGGTACAGGTGCCCATGAAGTTGTAGTACTGCTTGTCAAAAGTCTGGTAATGAGGGTCACCCAGGGCCCAGCATGTGGCACTGGACTGGGCCACACAAACCGGGTGGTCATTGATGATCTGGCAGGCTTCCTTCTTCCGGCATTGCGTGGAACTGCAGGAAGGTTTGGGAGGAGGCTGAGAGGCTGGCGAGAAAAGGCAAAGAAAGGGGTCAGTGGAATAGTAAGGAACTGAACGGAGCAGAAACGGAGGTGGAAATATATAGAAAAGAGATGGGATGGATGGCCATATAGGGGACAAACATAACAGATGGTACGGTGGGATGGAGAGAATCTCTTCCTTTTTTTTCTTTCTTTCTGAGAAAAGGCACGGTAACGCGAAATCATAAAACTGCAGTGCCGTCAAGTCGCAGTCAGCTTTTGGTGACTCCATAGGGATTTCAAGGCAAGAGACATTCAGAGATGGCTTTGCCATTGCCTGCCTCTCTGTAACAACCTTGAATTTCCATGATGGTCTCCCATCCAAGGGCCAACCCTGCTTAGCTTCTGAGATCTGGTGCGATCCAGCTAGTCTAGGCCATCCAGGTCAGGGCAAAACTGTGATTACAATAATTAAATCATCCTCATATCATAAGAACATAAGAGACGCCAATGTTGGATCAGGCCAAAGGCCCATCCAGTCCAACACTCTGTGTCACACAATGGCCAGAAATACCAGTGCCATCAGGAGGTCCACCAGTGGGGCCAGGACATTAGAAGCCCTCCTACTGTTGACCCCCCCTAGCACCAAGAAGACAGAGCATCACTTGCCCCAGAGCCCCTATCTATACCTTGTGGCTAATAGCCACTGATGGACCTCTGCTCCATATGCTTATCTAATTCCCTTTTGAAGCCATCTATGCTTGTAGCCGTCACCACTTCCTGTGGCAGTGAATTCCATGTGTTAATCACTCTTTGGGTGAAGTACTTCCTTTTAACCATTCTAACCCGACCACTCAGCAATTTCTCTCTATTCCTGGGAACCCTCCAAAAAATCAACTTCCAAAAGATCCTTGACCCTTGAAGAGTCTCCAGAAAAACAGAGTTCCAAAGCTGAGGGGCAGACACTAGGTCAGCCTTCTGTGTAATCCTGACTTGGCACATAGCTTGGAAACTTTAAAAGGGTGTTCTGTGTCAATCAGCAAGGTCATAATAGAATAAATGGGGAGGTGGTCTAATGAGGTTTGGCCCAGGTCCTGCCTGTGTGGTAAGTCATCACTTTCATGTTGCATTGAGCCCAAAGGAGAACAGAAAACCACTTGAACATACGGAGACCATTACAAACTCATCTGAAGTCAATGGAAGGGAGGGGAGAATCCATTGCTATATTTTTGTTCCACTTTTTTCCTGCTCCCAAAGCAGGTAACAGGAATCAGATTCTCCAGTTCCATCTTCATCCTCATAACGACCCTGTGAGGTAGATTATGCCGAGAGAGAGTAACTGATCCAAGTTCCCATGACAGAGTGGGGACTCAAACTTAGGTCTCCCGGATTGTGGTCCAGCACTCTAACCACTACACCCCCTTTTCACCACTGTTATGCCAACCCCAATAAATTCAGCTCCATTATCCTTGTCCCCAATCATTACTCACCACCTTGGCAGAGGGCAACTGCCCCGTAGCCATTCCTATTGGCTATGCCAAAACTCAGCAGGCCAAAGGGGGTGTCAGGATGGCCCATGACATGCTGGCTTGCTCCATTCCCCAGGCTGTATTCGCCCCACACGTATTCTGATTCCGGAATTTGTTTCCAATAAACGCCATCCAACAGGCGTCCACCCATGGCGATCCCAGCAGCAGCCGTCTTCTTGGCAATGATGAGGACATAATTCTCAAAGCCCGTCTGGCTCATGAGGGAGTAGGAGGTGCAATAACTGGATATATCTGGAATGCTGAGGAAGAATGGGTCAAAAGCTATCCCGTTGTGAGAACCACCGGTACAGAAGAAGAAAACTTGTATGCCAGCACTGGCTGAGATGTAGATGGGACCCGTCCGTCGCACTTCCAGCTGAAAAACTGTCCCAGCCGTGAGGAGCTGGTTCTTGTGGGCCCCACCAGAGAAGTAGGTGATGAGGGTGGTCTGGGAAGCAACGATGTAGGCAATGTCATAGTTCATCTGGAAGGAGAGCGGCGGAACGAAGAAGGCCCTGCCCCAGCTGGCCACGGGCAGTAGCTGTTCTACTACGTAGTTGCACTTGGTGTTCTTGTGCGCACAGCTGTGGCCGCTCAGCACTGCCACTGGTTGTGGTGACCTGATGCGCGTTCCGGAGAGATCTTGGCGGCTTTGGAACTGGACGGCTTCGTAGGGGAGAAGGGAGACACTCAGTTTTGCTCCTGCTTTGTAGATGCGCTCCTGGAATCTCACACTTCCCTTGAGAGAGATCTCCACTTGGACTGGATCACGCCATGCAATGATGGAGAATTCCTTATAAAATCTGTCTCCGTCTCCAGCAGGGGTGAGGACGTAGTAGTCTGTGCCGAGACTGTTTACAGGATAGACCACATTTGTGTCAGCAGAGTTCTCCTTGGAGCTGAGGGCCAACACCGAAACATCTCGATCGGCCTGCACCAAGATGGTGTTGCAGAATTTAGCAGAGCCGGACATCTCGGCATAAGCCGGAATGTTCACGACTTGTGTCTGACCCTGATTGAGGATGAAGTTGCTCTGGAAGTGGGATTTGTAGACCGAGACAGTGACTCTGGTGGAGGGTGCATAGCCAGAGATGAAGAGCTGGAACTGAGGCTTAGGGCTGTTCATCAAGTAGTTTTGCATGAAGGTTGTGATGAACTCCCGGCCAACAGGGGCTACAGCATGGAGGCCTAGAAGGTATGGGAGAAAGGGAAAATTTAATGCTATGGGAGAGGTGCTCCAATTTATTTGCCATCAAAGCATTGCTGACTTATGGCAACCCTGCAGGGTTTTCAAAGTGAGAGACATACAAAGGCAGTTTGCCCTTGCCCACCTCTAAGTCGTGACCTTGGGCTCCCTTGGTGGTCACCCATCCAAATGCTTACCAGGGCCAATTCTGCTTAACTTCTAATGAGATCAGGGTAGCCTGAGCCATCCAGGTTAGGGGAGGCGCCCCACTGAGAAACGTAAATATCATTTTTGTGAGGCTGTTAATGAAGAAGGGTGCTGCCTG